TTTTCCTTCCCTTCCTTCCTGTTTCTTCCTCCCTTCTTTCTTCCTTCCTCTATCACTCCTTTGTCTTTTCTTCTCACTATTTGTAATTTAAAAAAAGAACAAGGCAACCATTCCAAAGAAGGAAACAGCAATAATCCACACCTTCAGCATCCAGAGTTAATCACTGCTAATATTCTGGCAGATTTGCTTCCTTTATTTTCCTCTCCTTGTGTGTGTGTGTGTGTGTGTGTGTGTGTACTTGTGTATGTGTGTGTGTATGTGTATAAATTGGTGTGTGGGGTGTGCCTGTGTGTGTTTGTGTGCATGTGGACTCCAGAAGTCTGTATCTGGTGCTTTCCTTGATCAGTATCTACTTTATTTTTTGACACAGTGTCTCTCAGCCAACCCAGACCTCCACAATTTGGCTAGGTTGGCCAATAAGCTTCAGGGATCCAAACTCTGGTCCTCATGCCTGCCCTTTGCAACTGAGCCACCTCCCCAGCTCCCCTTTATTTCCCTTAGTAAGACATGGCCTCACATGTCTTTTGCTCACTCAACTGCTCCCCACTGTTGGTAGAGTGCTGGTTGCCATCATCTTTACTCACAGCATTACTTTCTTTTATACTTTCCTTTTGAAAATCTCCTCATTAGCATATGCATTGTTAGCAGAATATATTTATATTTCCAAATGTATCAATATTTGGATTTTGTGTTATTGATTCATTATAGAGTCTCTATGTGTATATGCTGTTGCTATATATCGCAAGGCTTTGTAATCACATTGTCAAAAGAATAATTAATTGTCTAGACTAATTCACCAACTAATTATGAGGCATAAAACAGATGGAAGTAAAAAATATATCACATGAGACCTGGATTTCAGTAATCACAGTGATGATAATGGGGAAGGTGAATATTTATTAACTTGAAAAAAAGGAGAGGGGGATATGAATCCAATCTTTATTCCCAAAATTGTAGTCAGTAGGTAGAATGCTTTAGAAATAATGATGAATTAGGACTAAAATATAAAGAGCATTAATATATTAAAGGTTAAACATTAACATGTATTTATCAGATATAAGTACAAATTACTGCACTGGGTTTTAAATAAACAGTAGAGTTTACACATGCAAATATATTTTATCCATACTGTGGTGATATAATTTGTCTTCTGAGTGTTTCACAACTCCATTCCATTAATGCCTGAAGTGGTGTTGCCTTCTCGTCCTTCTTATAGTAGTTGTACTGTGGTGTTATACAACCATTTTAGCAATGCTCAACAAAGTTTTGGGATGTTTTGGACACTGCTTCCAAAACTTAAAAGCTTTCAAAAACATTTCAGTCACAAGTCAGCTTTATTTTTTGAGAATGGATTTATTTTTGGTACCAATTAGAAGCTGACTCCTGCCTAACCTATAGAAAACATAGATAGTCCTTTGTGATAGCACAAATAAATCAAATAGCAGCTACCAACTAAGAAGCAGGTAAGATAAGTTTTAAGGTTTGATATTATTATGTGGCGACTGAGGATGATGAGCAAGATGAAGTGTATATTTAAACAATATTGGACTAAGCATCTAATAAAGCCAAGTAATTTTTGGGAAAAATAAGCAAAAATCCCTTTTCAATCAGTTTCATAATTTTTCCAGACACTTTCCATACAACAGGAAATTGAATAAAAGTGTTAATCATGATCAATCTGATCTTAACATAAGAACCTGCACTGAAAAGTCCTATTGTTAGGCATCTGTCAAATAATACTCAAAAGTTTTAAGTTCATAAGAAAACATTTTGGTGATTTACACTGCCATGGCTCTTTTTGTTTGATTTTACACATAAAATCAAATGTTCTAGGAAACTCATTTTTCTCCATCTGGTTAGCCATAGGGTTGTCACTTTAGATGTGTAAGTGGAAATATAGATAAAATAAAAAAAAACAAGAAGACAGTGAAAAAGTCATCTAGAATGGCCAGAATTACAAGCAAGGCTTCAGTCTCCAGGTGATATTATATAGAAAACAAAGGCTTATTAAAGGAAATAATAATTATTCTAGTGTGGGACATGCAGAAGAAACTCTAAAATGAAAACACTTCCCCAAAGGCATGTCTCAGTCAGGTCAGAGGTGCCAAGATTCCATAATAGATCTAGGATGTCTTGAAAAAGCTCTGGTTATAATCATTAACACCTTGTTGTAACCTTACCACACCCTTAGATGGATTGTCATCACCAAATACAGTTAGGAGTAAGGTTACCATTTGTCTGCACATTAGACAACTGATTGTACCAAGCCATGACTGTATCACCAGTTTGCAGTAATGCAATACAGGAAACACAAGAAAGATGGCCACAGGTCATTTAAAAGAAGGAGGCCTGAAGTAAGCAGACTGGACATTTCAGCTTAGCAATTGTGTGGAACAAGGGCAGGGGCATCGTGTTCTGCTGGAAGTAGCCAAATAACTCTTGGTTTCCTGGATGAATATCTGCTATATATTTCAGAAATGGGAATTTAGGAGGATGGCGTTCAAATGAAAGTGACCTCAGCTGTCATGAGGACTTGATCATTTATTTTTCTGAATGTAACTGAAACATTCAGCTGCAAACCTTGAATTTCATTGTGATGTTTGGCTATTAGAGGTCTTTTCTGGAGGGTTGGGAGGTAGATCAGTTGCTCAAGAGCTTGCCTACCATGAATGAAGACCTAGATTTGATAACATCGTTTTATTAGCTGAATGTTATGGTGCTTGCATTGCTAGAACTTGAGAGATCCAGGCAGAAAGACCACTGAAAATTCACAGCCAGCTTGGGCTAGACAGTGAGCTCCAGGCCAGCCTGGACCTTCCCTTTGAGTCTTCTTAAACTCTCAAGGAAGAGAGTCAGGGTGGCAACATTAATTTTCCTATTGTGGTCCACAAACTTTTTAAACAAGCGTTCTAGAAAGGAGCACATCTTTTATTTTACTTTATAAGAAATAACAACTGTGGTTTTCAGTTAAAATATGAAAATTCACACGTTCTTTGCTTCACAGATATTCATTTATAAGCATGAGCTTCTTTTTTAACTTTCAGTGCTTTATTTAAAAAGGTATCAGGCAGTTGAAAATTTGAAGACATCACAGTGACTGTCCTACCTCTGTGAGATTCATTCCTCACATAACTCATTCCTCATTTAAATATCCATCTAGCCATCTGTAAATTGACTGTATTTTTGACACATTTCCCAATAACTTTCACATAACAGTCCTACTAAATGCTTCAATTTGCATATGATTAACCAGAATTCAATATTTAAATTTCCCTTTGTATAACATCTACATGAAATGAAGTATATTATAATGTATTGCCAATAAAGTCACAGAATTTTGACAACTGTACTAGTACACATAAGTTAACTCTCTTTCCATAAATTTACCATGACTCTAGAGTGTTCCCTAATATTTTTCCCAGCTAAACTGTGCTCTCAATGTTGTCCCCACTCTAAGAACCACTTCAGATACCACATATTTCCATGTAAAGGAAACCATATGGTCTGTTATTTTTGTGCAGTTCATTTTACTTGCCATGTAGCAATGTAAAGATTCATGCTAATAGTTGTTCACATAGCCATTTTCATTCTGTTCCATTCTAAAAATATATTAGTTTACTTATCTGACACTCATTTGAGAATGGACACCTGTGCTATTTCTACATTGCTCTATTGTGAGTGTGCTCTATGCTTCTGCTATGAAACATTTTTTATGTTTTGTATAAATACCTAGGAGTGGAGTTTAGGGATTATTGCATCATTTAATGCTATAACTCTACTTACTCCAGTTTAATGCTAACCCTTTTGGTTGGATCTGTAGTGGTTTCTCATTATAGTTTTAATTTATATTTCCTTTGTGTTGTTGGGTGTGCTTTGGTGAATTGACTGCCTGTTCACATACAGTTGATTCTGAGACAAATATTGAACTTGTGGACAATGGATAACTGTTCCTCAGAGAAAGAGCTTACTTTCTGTGAGCCTCTGTTTACAACATTTTCTAAGATCAATCAATATATAACCAATTTTCCAACCAATTGCTTATTCCTTAATACTGAGCTTATCAACAGCATTATAACTCATGACTGAAGAAGAGAAGGTTGACTGAATTTATCTATTTCTTTCCCTAGTTACCATGATCTCTCTCTGTCTCTGTCTCTGTCTCTCTCACATACACACCACTAAAATATTCTTCTATTCATCTTTCTTTGGTTGTAGATTATAATGGCGTATGACTATTTAGTCTTGATTATTTTTATAGATTATTTATATATTTTTATTGAATATTTAATTGTTTGACATACCAAGAGAATGGTGCTGCAATCCCCAATTATGATATTGACATTGCTTGTTTTCTTTTTAAAGTCCCTCCCTTTTTCATTCATATTCTGTGCTTTGAAAGCCATCTTCTTGAAGAATTAACTCATTAATTTTTGGAATGATTATCATCTTCTTTATCTTTGTCTCTTTTATTTCATATTAGTATTTGGCTACTCTACTTATTTTTAATTTCTGAGAGTTGTGTGCCATTTTGTAACTATCACCTCCCTACTTTATCTTTACAATTTAAGTCATTATCCATTAGACAGTACTTAGGCTTTATATTTTCATTCATTTTTAAAATCTTGGCATTTAAGTTTTAATTTGTATTCTATTAACATTGTTTGTAACTACTTAGATGATGCTATTTTCATCTTACATTTAATATTTTTTTGTTCTTTGTGGTTTGTATTAGTCTATTCATTAATTCTGCTTTCATTTTTCTTAAAATTTGACTTTAATATGTATTCAATTTTTTGCACTCTCAATATAGATATAGCCTTTATAATTTATAGTAATTTTTCATCCTACAGACTAATTTATCATCCTTGTTCTTTATGCCATGCTTATTATTTATAGTTTATTTAGATAAATTATAACCCACCATACAACTCAATGGAATGTATGTTATAATTGATCACACAAGTTTTAGAGAACTGGAGGAAAAAAAATAATTTACTTACAGAGATAGGCATTCCATTGCTGTTTTTTTCCTCTAGGAGATGAGCTTTTAATCTGGTGTCATTTCATTTCAGTCTAAACAAATTTCTTTAGCATTTCATTTCATTCATGCATGCTGGAATCAGATCGTTGCAGTTTCTGAAATATGAAATTTCTTATGTTACATTCATTATTAAATACTATTTCTTGTGTAGGGGATTGAGCTGAAGCTTTTAGTTCAGCACTCTAAACATGTTTCATGGCCATCTTCTGTCTTCCGCGGTTCAGGATAAGAAGGAAGTAGAAATTTGAATCATTGCTCATTCTGTGTAAAATGTCATTTATTTTACTGCTTTCAAGAATTTTTCTCTTTCTCTTTGATTTTCAGTAACTTAAATGTGTTGTGCCTAACTGTGGATTTATACATATTTATCCTCTCTGATGTTTGCTGAGCTTCTCAGATCTGTAAATTTATGTCTTTCAGCAATATGTTTCCATACCATCTGTCTCTCTTCTCTAGCTACTTCAATTAAACATAAATTAGAAGTTCTGAAACCATCCTATAGGGCTTGAAGGTTCTGCTCAGCTTTTTCTCTATTCTTCATATTTGATAATTGCTATTGATTTGCCCTTGAGTTTTTCAGTTGTTCCTCTGGTTGTGTCATCCTTCTGTTAAGCCCAGCCACTGACTTCAAACATTTCATATTTTATGATGTGTGGTTCTAGAAATTATATTTGGTCACTTTTATAGCTTCTGTATTTTGACTGGTCCAGCCTATTTTCAAATTATTGCAATCATGTTTTCCTTTACTTAAATGACCACAGTTACACTAGCTCCACTATAGCCCTTACTTGTTAATTCTAGCATCTGAATCATCTTGGGTTTACTTTTGGTTAATTGTCCTTTGTCTGAGGAATGAGATACATTTTCCTAGTTGTTCATAAATTAAGTAGTTTTGGATAGCATCCTGAAACTTGTGATTTTTTTTTCCTGTAAAGACCCAATATTCTATTATTTTTCTTTGCAGTGTTGATGTTTCTGTTTTAGAAAGTAATGAACATTGCAGTCTCAGTTTAAATTTTGTTTTAGAATATTCAGCTCAGAACTTCCACTGATTACTGTCTTAAGCTGGGCTGCCTTGACAATCTTCCAGAAATGCCACCCAGTGATTGATATGTGAATGTGCAAATCACACACATCACATATCACATACATACACATCACAGACACATCATATCATGCATATTAAATACATATCACATGCACATACATTCTATACATACATCATATCACATGCATAGAGCTGAATAATACTCAGAGCTGAATATTTAACCTGTATAAAACATATATTGTCTTTTGGAGAAACTCTTACTGTAAGACTTTTAGATAATTAGTACTGATTGCATGCAAGCAATTTTAACAGATCAACATATATAGTATTTTAAATACAACATGACTAATATATATATTTCAAACAGTTAATTAGGCTTATGAAATTTCCTAGTGAATGTATGCTTTGCTTTAGAATTAAATACCTATGTGAAAGCAATATTATATATTTCATGTATAACATCTAATTTTCTTCTTGAGACTTCATTTTTTTCCCTTCCATTAAATATTCAAAGTCCAGTTTTTTTATTCCTACTGATACTAGAGAGCCTGGTCCACCTAGGAGCTCTACCCATCTGTTCCTTACATACATTATTGAACGAGAGGCAACTGGAAGGTAGGTGAACCCTTGCCAGCTGCAAGCTAAATTCTCAGGAGCTTTGGTGTATTCTATAAATTTCCTAGGGTTCATTGCCAGTTTTTGACTATGGGGAATTTTAGGCTTGGGATATTTGTGTTAAAAAGTTGTATCGAAATTCTCTACCCTTTCATTAGCCTCAGTTTGTAATCTTTGGATAGAGTTTCCTGAATCCCTGGGTTTTTTAAAACCCCATGGATTTTTGTTTTTATTCAGCCTTTCTGTTCTTGGTTTTTCGAGAAACAAATAAGCCACTTTACCTGGGATCAGGACAATGGGGTCCTCAGAAGCACCCTTTGCATGTATTTGTGGAGCCCACAGGAATTAGTTTGACTATTTACAGATTATAACAGTTGGTAGTTGAATGTTTTCTTTTCATTCCCAGTTGGTGCAATATGTTCACAGCTGATGCTAATGGCTGGCCCATTTGATTTCACATATGGTCCACTATTTGGGGCCCTCCAAGGCTTTCTTTTGTAGTTAGTCTTCTCCAACACTATCATGTATTTTAGTTTTGCCTTTGTCTGCTGGTCAAATGAAGAAAGAAAAAAATCCCTCTGAACCTTGGCAGCTGCAGAGGAAATCAGCAACTCAGTTGATAAAGATTCAAAGAACTGGGTCAAAATGTCCCAGGAAGAAGATTTTTGTTAAACATGGCAAACAAACAAAATGCTCCTCTGCGTTGCGTGAGGCTGAGAGCACACAAAGTGTTCTCTGCTGTTCTTCCGCCACTTTGGAGCTCTGCTTAAGCAGGCCCTAAGTGTTTTCAGCACGGCTGCATGTCAGAGAGACCACGTTGTCCTAGGAGTCCATTTACATTGGAAAGCATCGTGCCACAAGTGCTTCAGAAAACATTTCCTTTTGGGCAGTTTTTTTTTTTTTAACAACTTAATTTATTTGCTGCTAAAATTCACCGAGAAAGACAGCATTGAAAGTGGAGTCTCTTTACTAAGACTCATTCCACACAGCATCTGAGACAGGAAGAATACGAACTATAAAATTAACAATGTTGAAAACACCAATGCAGGCACCCTGCAGCAGTCATATAATCGAAACATGGTCAGTGTTTATTCTGACTGGAGACTATAAATGATGAAGCCACAATCTCATAACAAGATTATTTTCAAGACTATTGTATTACCCTGGGAGAGCTAAAATTCTCATTTATTCATAGTTGCAGATTGCAATGGCTCTAATTCCTGGCAAAGTGGGCATTGTATGATAATTGAGTGGGCTGGGATGTTAATTGCCCTCCACTTCACCTCTAGATGTTTAACTGCTTATCTCTTCAACCAGCAAACACTAATGCTTATTTGTGCCTTACCATCGAGATAATTTTGTGAGGTGAGTAATTTATTTGTAATAAGGAGGGAAAATATACAGAAAAATAAATTATCCTTGGTCTCTATATCAACATCAACTGAAGATATTGGTGCATACTCATGAAGCTTTCCAATGTCAATGCTCTTGATGGACCTGGGAATAACGGGGAATGCTGAATTATAGCTAATAAATTGAAGATGTGAACAGGCATTGCCGAATGAATGCTGCTTGGTTAGTTTTCTGGGCTATTTTCTTTTCCAGCCTGTGTGGCAGGTTGGGGACGGTTGCATAACATAGCATGCTTGTGAAGGGACAACATGTGGGAGTCAGTTCTCTCCTTCCACGAGGCTGGACCTTCAGTTGTCAAGCTGAGTGGCAGGCACCTTGACTTGCTGAGCTATCTTACCAGTCTATATGCTACTTTGTATTGGCATCCATTTATTTCTCAAACCACAGAGATATCAGCCTCTTAGCACTAAGGATGCCATTCATGTGTTCCATATTGCTTGTTGCCAATGGTGGAGAAGAGGAAGGATCTGCCTCAAGCCTGTTCTGTGGACTAGCCAGATATGTTTCTGTTGCTGCTGTTTCCTCAATATTTCCTATTAGAGTGTGAGCATCATGAAGGAGATGTATGTGGAGGTGATAGCGTCTTTAGTGATTAGATATTTAGAAATCATGTATTAGGCATCTGCCACTAAGCAGCAGGCATTGTGTTGTCTCTTTGTTGAGGACAGGTTGTGCTCGGCTGTAAGCTATTCCATATTGTATAATGCAGCGGTTGTTTAGACGAAGCCTGGACCAGAAGAATTTCACTTCATAGAGAGCTTTGACTCCATTTTGAGGATGGAGGAAGATTCTACAATTTGTTCTTAGGAATAGAAAAACTGTGAACATGTAAATTCTGGGGGTGAACTGAGACTGTGGGACCACATTAAAATCATATCAGGAGAACTTGGCCTGGTAATTTACTGCACACAGGTTACAAAGGAGAGAGTGTGAATCTTTCCTCTGAACCCTGTGAAGAGGTGAACACCTAGCATTGTGATTACAGTGGCCCCAACCAGCCTGTCATCTGATCATATCTAGGACCACAAGCAGAGATCTCTTGGCTGTCCCAGGGGCTTTGGCTTAGCTCTGCCCATGCTAATGTCATGGTCTATTTAAATTGCAATCTGCTTATCCTCCTTTCTCATCTGGGTCTTCCATCCATTCATTTATCTATTCCTCTATCTGGGCCCAGTCTAGCCTTTTCACCTGGGCAACAGGGCCCAATTCTACAACTTTTCATCAAACATGGTTGTGAGTCAGAGCCACAGTGGCCTGACTAAGAATCTCTTGTCTCCTGAAGAGGTATCTGTCTCTCATCTTTCCTGTACCTCAACCCTGTAAACCTTTTTGAGCTCTGCAATGGCCCCTTAGTACTACATAACTATGTGTAACATGCTTACACATGTGTTTATATATGCGTATATGTATACATAGAGATAAATAGGTAGATAGATTTACTATGTTACATACACTATGTGATTTGAGGGTCAGTAATAGTATAGGATTGGAATAAAATTGGTTTACCTTGGCCAGGGACATTAAACAAAATAGAAATATCAAGAAAATTTCACCTAGTGAAACTATCATACCTAATGAATTGTTATTCAATAAACTCTGACATTGTTAAGAAGACACAAACATGTTAGGCTATATTAACATAGTGTGCTTATTACATCTTTAATTTATACAGTATCTTAGGTAAGTTTTCTATTGCTATGAAGAGACACCATGACCATAGCAACTTCAATAAAGGAAAATATTTAACTGAGTGGCTTATATTTCAGAGGTTTAGTCCATTATCATCATGGCAGGACATGGTGGTATGTAGGCAGACATGGGGCTATGAATAAGAGCTGAGAATTCTACTTGTTGACCTTCAGGCAATAAGAAGTGAACTGAACTAGGCAAAGCCTGCCCCCACAGAGACACACTTCTTCCAACAAGGACACACCTACATCCACAAGGCCTCCTAATAGTGCCCCTCCTTATGTTCTTATGAGTCAAACTACCACACACAGTATGTCTGGGGTTCAGATAT